CCCTGGGGTGTTAGTTTTCTTTTCCTATTTTTTTGTCTGCTTTTTAGCAGCTTTCGGTAAGTAGCACATTTTATTTTTTAAAAAAGAATTGGAGCCGTTATTGAGTAGCCGCGCCCTAAGGAAGGTCAAGAGATTAGGGAACGGAAGAAGGCTGGCCAGGCTCTTTGCTGACCACAGTAAGGGAATGCCACTTCTTATAATTTAATTTTGAGATACTGATGAAAAGGCACTCCCTAAGGAAAAAAAAAAAAAATCTTCACTGAAAAAAAAGTGAAAAATTGTTAGAAAATAGCCATCAAAAAGTGATCAATTTAAATTTATGTCTAACAAACAAACCACATGGAACTAACCACAGGGCAGACATGCATTTGCAGCGATATATGGACATTCTCAAAATATGGTCAGGATTTTGCAGGGGAAAGTGGACATTACTGGCTTCTGATATTGGTGGGCATTGGCCTAATTTTGTAAGTATTCTGAAATTCTAAACATCATATGTCACAAATCAGAGGAGAGTATACTAAAAGAAACCTTTGAATTTAACTGGTCCAACTCTCTCATTTCACAAGTGGGAATAATGAAGCCTTATGGTAAAAAGTAAGTTGCCCAAGATCACACAGCTGGTGAGGGGCAGCTCAAGGACTCAAGTTCAAACTCCCCATTCCCAGACCCAGGTTCTTTCCAATGAGCTAAACAAATGCAGTGGGAAACCGCAAACTCACATTTAATGGAAACCCTGTACCCATGCCCCCTGGAAATGGCCCTGAATGTTGCTAGAGGCAGCTCATCTGTCACAGCCTGGACTGAAGTCTTTACCTGGTACTAAATGGGTTCTTCAAAGCATTCTATGAATGTCTAGGCACATTGACATGACTCCAAGGACTCAGCTTCTGTTCTTTTCTCTGCTTAGAAAAAAAGAGCACAGACCATAACCTGCATGCCATAATCATCTCCAGGTGTATATACTAGAATAAATTAATGTCATCATCATCCGCCATCATGTAGGCTAAAACTTTAAGTCACCTTCAACTTGTCTCTCTCTCTCATCCTCCCCGTCCTCCACCTAATCTATTGACAATCCTGTAAGTTCTATCTCCAAAGATAGGACTTTCATCTCCTAATTTACATCTTCACGGATCTTCATATCATTAGTGTCTTCCTGCTTCTGGGTTCTCACCGCTATCCTCGATGGCCAGGCCGGGTGGATCCTAATCAACTGTTCTGGCATTCTCCTGCTCAGATCACTGTCACCTATGGCATAACGTCCACACTCTTTAACATGGCATTCAAGCTCTCCCCAGTTTAGCTCCTGCTTACTTTTTGAGACAAATTCTATCAGCTCTTCCCTACATTATTCACTCCAGTGCACTGGACTACTTGTCATTCCCTAAGAGCCCTGGAACTCTATGCCTTGACACTATGCCTTGACTCCAAACCTGTTTCTTCTTTTCAACCTGTAGAGAGATCTTCATTCCTCTAGTTCCAGTTCAAATGCCACCTTCTCGGTAATCTTTTCTATGCATTACAGAAAGAAGTAATAATTCTATGTTTCCTTAACACATTGCTCATACTTTTTTATGGCACTTACTTAATTCTGCCTTGTATTGTAATCGGTTGCATATCTCTTGCTAAATATATCTCTTTTATCTTTGAAAAGATGCCCTGTTCACCTTTGAATGGGAGCAATGCGCCCTCCCAACCACATTGCTTCATTTAATACACTGCATATAATACATGATTTTCTTTCTTAACTTTTACTGAGCACTTACTAGGGCAGGAGGTGTAGTGGCTGAAGGAGAAAGATGCAAAATAAAACACAATCCCTGCCTTTAAAGGAGCCTTTAATTGAATCAGTGAGACACATTCGCAAATACCCTAAGCAAGTTAAATAACTGTGGGGGTGGAATTGGGTGGAGGGGAAGTTCTGAGTGTGGAACAAACATTCTCAGTGTTCCAAATGAGAACATTGGTATTATGACATGGAGGGTGGAGTCATGGGGGAGGAGTAGAAGGAAAGAAAGGGCAAAGCTGCCTTTAGATCCCATCTCTTGCTGTAGTCATTATTAGAGTCTTCTCTAGGTCTGGCTAATCTCACTTATACTTCCCTCAGAACCAGAGAAATCTTCCTAAAACAAGACTCTGATCATTTAACTCCCTGTTCAAGTGTTTGATGTTCAATGAATCAAGCATCAGATAATTGCAGGCTTATGTTAAGAGTTACAGAGTACCAGTTTGCAGAGATGAGACGAAGTCCAGGAAACAGCCAGAGAACAAAAAGGAAGAACATCCTGTAAAAGTGCTAGGAAGTGGGAGACAAAGTAAGAGTGTGATCAATGTGGGCTGAGATTAATCCAGAAGGATTAATTGGAGGAGGCAAGCCTTCTGTGGATGGTCACTTGGCAAGAAAGATTAGACATACCAAGGGAACTTTAAGATTCCTTTCAATTCTGAGACCCCATTTCCCATTATTCCTCAAGGTGATTTATGTATTCATTCAATAAATACACGCTAAGCACTTCAACAAAACATCAAATATTTATTGAATGCCTTCTATGTGCCACGAACTCTGCTAAACCCTGGACATACAGCAGAGAATAAGAGACTTTGCACTTAAACTCTGACAATATAATGGGGATGACTGATGCTAAACAATGAATGCAATAAAATATAATGGATATAATGATGGCAGAGTATAAGGTGTCATGCTTTCAGACCACAGAACAGGGATCCTAACAGCCTAGGGGCTAGAAAAATATCTCTGAGAGTTGATGTGTAAGCCAAGATTCCAAGGCTGTACAGGAGTTAGCCAGACATAAGGAACTGAGCATCCAGGCAGAAGAACACCCATCATATTTGATAATCTGGTATTCAGAAAGAATATAGCATGTCCAAGGAACTAAGAGATATTCAAAAAAGCTACAGCATGGAATGCAAATAGAAAGGTGGTAAGAAATTAGGATAGAGAGACAAGAAGAGCCAGAATATGGGAAATTTTTCTAGGGTATGTCGAGGAGTTTATACTTCATCAATAGACTCTAAGTAACGTTAAAGTATGTAGCACAATGAATCTAACCTACTAAATACGTATTAAGTGTCTACTGAAGAGTAGATTAATGAATAGATGGATGAATTAATGAATTTCCTTTGCAATAAACATGAGCTTTTTGACTCAACTTGAGTATTTGCTCTAGAAAGTGTTGCTACTATTATCAGAGGCACTGTCCTCTTAGGTCTGTATGGCACATGTAACTCATGACCCCTGTGAGGCAACCCCCTAACCTTAGTAGAGTTACTCAGTCACCTAGCTTACCACAGCAGATGTAATTCAAGTTAATCTGCGTTAAAGCCAAAATGTTTCTCGATGAAAGGGTAGAGTTTTACCTGGCAATCATTTTGGCCTAGGCTGTGCAAGAGAAGCCAGACTCTTTCTTAATCCTTGATGAAAAACATAGCCCTCTAAGCCTCAAGGGCATGAATATTACTAAATTAGATTATTCATAGCAATGCTTCCATGGACAAATAAATCCAAGGATAGAAAGTGATAGTAAATGTTCAAAAAAGATATTTTGCGTTTTTAATAAGAAAAGAAAAAGTAAGACAATTGTTAAAAGCCAAACCAAGCTCTTCCTTTGGCCACCCAGGTTTTATGAGTCACTGAGCCCTGCCTCAGATCGGAGCTGCAGAACAGCCACCTGTTGGGGGCGAGCGAGCTATGGGGGGAGATAATGTCTTTAGAAAGGGGGAGAGTTTGGGGAATACAAGATGTCATTTCCAGGATTCTAAGCAACTACCAGGCCAAAGATTAACTCTCCACCCTCTTGTTTATGATCAAGAGACTTTCTCCTGATTTGCTACAGTCTCATTCAAAATTTGAGAGTTTATTTGGCTCCAGGTATAGATAACAGACTAGTCAGTGCCTAGCAGAAGAGTCCAAAATTACTCCTGAAGTCATCACAGCAGCTAAACATTCATTTGGTAGAGAAAGAATCAGAATAGAGCTTTAGAAAGATTCTTAATGCTGTTGCTAGGGCCATGTGTTGCTCTGTGTGTGTGTGTGTGTGCGTGTGTGTGCATGCACATGTGCAGTATTCATGTGCCATCAATCGGCAAGTCCCACCCCCCAACATAACAAGCAGCCTGTGAAGGTCATTTGCCATTTTATTTCAGTGAGAACCATTAAAAATGCCTACATATGCAGCTTTCTAGGAAATCTATTTGTGTCTTTCCTTAGTCATGTAAAGCACAATGCTGTGAAAGGAGCCGGATATACCCATATGTGGCTGGCATAGAAGCAGCACTGGAATCGTCTTCCTGAGACTGAGCCTCTTGCTGCCCTAAGTCCCACGTCTGCTGACTACTTTCTCTGAACCTGCTCAGACAAAAACCCAAGCACAGCTTCAGCAGCCCTGACTGGATTTAGAGCTTTCTTAAGATGCCCCCTAGCTCCTGCTAGGGGCTTGTAAGGAATTGCGCAGGTGCCCTGTGGTAAAGGGATGTGACGGCCACCTATGTGCTTCTGGTCCCAGACGGCTGTGGAAACAAGGGGGTGTCTGGCCCCAGAAGGGCTGTAGATCATTTGCACTCACAGATTGCTGGATGAGCTCTTGGATGCCAGACAATATTTCTTTCCCTGCCGTTGATGTAGTGACCGACTGCCCCTCTGCTCACCCCTGAGTGACAGTCAGTTCGGATTCAGTCTTGTTTGCCATGAAGCTAGATGTCTCTGTAACCCATTTCAAATGGTCCTCACAGATACGATAGGCTAAACACACACTGAAGTCATGGTATCCTTTTACTACATGCACACAAGCTACAGGAATCAAGCCTTCCCCAGGCTGCAGTCTAGAGAATACACCTAGCCTCTGAGCCAAGCTATTTACGTCTCCCTTTCTCTCCCTATGCATCATTTGCTCTTTTATTTTGCATTAAGAGTAGCTTGGTGATCATGGACTTCGGCTCTCGCCTGTAGTGATCCTGTTCGCATTTCATTCTTTACGCAGTATAGGAAGGAAGTTCGCTTGCTTTGCACAGAGGCTGAGCCACAGGAGAAAGCAAAGCCAATGTGATTTATTGAATGAAAGCACTGGACAATTACCAACAACTTGTTCCTCTGCTGCCTCGAACAGCATAAACTGGTAAGTCAAATTTATTTTGTTTTTCTTCATGCGAATATGGAGCTTTCTTAGTCACTGATTATTTTTATTGTGTGTATATGTTGCTGTGGCTTAAATAACACTTAAAAATCTGTATCTTCCAAAATTAGCTGCAGGTGGTCCATGAAGAATACACACAAGCACACACACACACAGTGGTCTGCAATTGTACATACACGTCCCTGTGGAGAGACAGGACGGGGGTAGGGAAGCCCCATTTCTGATAATTGGGCATTTTGTTTGCAGTAAGCTTAATCACATTAAGTGCTTGCATAACTGATTAGCATTAGCCGTGAAAAATACATTGCTGTTTTGTTGTGTAAAATCATTTTCCAGTCAGGTTCCTGAGTCCCTAACAAAACACCTGTTGGGTCAGGTAAAGATGAGTTCCATCGTGCTGATAATCCTGAATGCAAACCCAGATATATTACTGTCTTTAATCCAGTTTTCAGACTGGGCAAGCAGAGTGGAATGCTGGCACTCTGTTCATCCTGGGTGAGCATGCCCATAAATAACATTATGACTGTGATACTGAGGATATCTGTCAAGGGAATCAATGGACGTGTGTTTAAACCCTTGCTTGATCCACCACTACTTTTGCATCTATGTTATTTAAGTCTTTTCTTTATTTCATAAAAGATATATGGTTGATGAGGTACACTGGGTTCAAAGTGGGATGTTCTAAGTATCCAGTTACCCGTGCTGATCATTGGCCTGGTCAGAGTCATCAGGAACTCCACTGATAATCAAGGCTGAGTTTGCTTCTGTACTGGGCTCCAAAAATCCCCATACTCACTTGGTTTCTTCATTTTCTAAATAAGATATAGGCCAACCTCAGCAGAGAGAGAAAGTGACTGTAGAAAGATATTGCTTTCCTTACCACCGTCCCCGCCCCCACCAGTCTCCTTAGTCTTTTGTTTGTCTGGCTACCCCAAGGCTTTATGGCAGCATCAATCCATCTCTGGTGAACTCAGAGTCCATATAAGTGTCATATAGAGTTTAATGTCTTTGGTGTACTCTATCTGCAGTATATCACTGGCTGTTCAGACAAAGTTGTGGCCTTGGATGCTGACAAAGATGAATGATGTTAGAACAGTGAGCAGCATGTTTCTCTAAATAAAAACCAAAGTTAGGAAACTGGAGAGATGGGTGAAGTTTTGCCTGGTGGAAAGGATCTCCAAGCCACTCAATCACAAGAGCCAAGGTCATTCTCCCAGGTGATTTGGCCATTTCATAAATGATGGCATTCTAATAGCAAGGAGACTGAATTGCCTACTGGTTACAGGACTGGTGAGATGTCAGGATAGTCGCGTATTTGCGCTGGTTCCCAGATTAAAGATATGTCTTTTGGAAATTTCCTTAGCCTCTGTGGATCTCTGTTCTGCCATTCCTTCTATTCTTAATTGTTTCAAAGAAGACATGCTAAGCTCAATTAATGTATTCATGAGATACTACTTTAGATTCTTTTGTTAAAGGATGCATTAGGTATTCAAGATCATTGTTCATGTACTTTAATCCAGGGGTCATTCATCAGAAATACACAGATGAGAGTTTATGTGAGGATGAGGGGAATCCATGTCCCTTCCCTCATCTAAGAGATCCAGAACACTCTGAAAGAAGCATGATCACACTTAGGGAATTAGAAGAGGAGAAAGGAGCTGAGAAGTGATGTTAAAAAAATTCAAGTTCAAATAAATAGGTCATGTAAATAAATAGGATTTTTTAAAATATTGATTAGTGATAACTGACTTGCTGTACTTATGACCCCAAGATCCTAAAGATCATCAACGTTTTGAAACAAACATGGAAGTATTTTTTTTCAGAGGGTAGTTCAGGTATGGGTATAATCCATGTATAGAACTATGGCAGGCAACTTTCAGCTGCTCAAATTGCTCCTGTACCCATGCGTATGGAATTAGCAGCTGCAAATGTACTATGATTTGAGAAGCTCTAGAAGGCTGATTTCCACCCCCCAAAATTTGTCCCATCTCTTTGTATTAGGGTACCTGAAATTCTTTCATCAGAGATTCAGTTAAGTATTGATGTCTTTTTTATAAAATTCAAACATTTCTAGAGGAAATAGTAAAGTAAGCCACTGATACTTTATGATAAATGAGTGTATTAAATTTTTTCTACTTCAAAGGTAACCCAAAGGATGTGGAATTAGTATTCTATTAATTATTCTGCTTTGTATTTGCTTCATACCTGTCTCTAAGAACTTCACTTATAATTATTATTTCACTCTTCATCAGAAAAATAAGTACCCTTCGGGCAAGTTATTTCCTTCTTTTATGGAATATCTGGATTAGACAATACCATCTAGATTTCCTATAGGCTTTTGAGAGTCACACTGTGGAAAACCAAACTCACTATCTTTTCCCTTTCTAAACTCACTTCTCTATCTATGTTCCTTTAAAAAAAAAAAAAAAAGGTGTGTGTGTGTGAGGGGGGTGACCTATCATTCACCCAGTCAGCTAATAAGGCTCACAGAATTTATCACTGGGTTTCCTGATCTCTCTAGCCCCTTCATCCGATCACTAACAAAATTTAGTCCATTTTATTTCCTTCATCTTTTGAATCCGTCCAGCCCACTCCATCCCCACTGCCACAAGCTTTAGTTGAAGTCGCCAGCTCTCATGGGGTAATTTTTTAAGAGCTTCATACTTGGTTGTCCCCTGCCACTGTTCCTACATCTCTCCCCTTTCCAGCAATCCTCTAGTTGCTACCACAGCAATTCTCTAAAAAAGCACGTCTCAATTTTTACTTCAAAGTCTCCAGTGCTGCCCTGTTGGGTACAGGTTAAAGTCTATGATTCTTATCGTGGCATAAGAGTCCTTTGGTGGTCTGGCCCTGCTACCTCTTTGGGCTTCTTTCCAAATGTCCTGGCGTGGTTGATGAAATGTACCACTGTAAGTGTCAGAGCCCAGAAAAATTTCATGGGGACCCTCACTGGCACTGACTTACCAATGTCACCATGATGTTTCCCATCTCTATATCCTAACCTGAACTATTATTCCTAGAATGCCCCTTTTGCCCTTCCTGCTAGTTAATTCCTCATTCATCATTCAAAATCCTTCTCAGGCATCTCCTTCTCTAACGCATTTTCTCACCACCTCTTATCCAATGACCACATCCTGTCACCCAGAAAGTTCATCACTCACCCCTCTGTGCTACTTCTATGTCTTAGATTTTTTGAGAGAAGTGTTTAGAGGTTAAGATCTCAAATCTAGACTCATACTGCCTAGATTTGAATCCCAGATTTACTACCCTTTAGTAGTGCCTCAATTTCTAGCTGTGTAAAATGGAGATACTAATAGTCCTTCCTTCATATGGCTGTGATGGGATTCAATAAGTTAATACATGTAAAAACACTGCAACACACTGAATGCTTATGTTTCTCCCAAAGGCAAATGTTGAAATCTTAACCCCCAAGGTGGTGGTATTAGGAACTGAGGCCTTCAGGAAGGTATTAGGTCATACCCCTCATCATTGAAGTTAGTGCACATCCCCAGAGAGCTAACTAGTTCCTTCCACCATGTGAAGATACAGCAAGAGAGTTCTGTCTTTTGAACCAGAAAGTCAGCCCTCACCAGACACCAAATCTTCTGGATGCCTTGGTCTTGGACTTTCCAGTCTCCAGAACTGTGAGAAATAAATGTATATTGTTTATAAGCCACACAGTTTGTGGCATTTGGTTATAGCAGCCTGAAGGGACTAAGACATACATTATTCTAAATAGCACTTGGCTCATAGAAAGTGTTATAGAAGTGTATTAGTCTGTTTTCACATTGCTATTAAGGAAATTTATAAAGGTAAGATTGGGTAATATATGAAGTAAAGAGGTTTAGTGGAATTACAGTTCCACATGGCTGTGGAGGGCTCACAATCATAGCAGAAGGCAAAGGAGAAGCAAAGACACATCTTACATGGCGACAGGCAAGAGCACTTGTGCAGGGGAACTACCATTTAAAAAACCATCAAATCTCATGAGATTTATTCACTACCATGAGAACGGCATGGGGGAAACCGCCCTCATGATTCAATTATCTCCACCTAGTCCTGCCCTTGACATGTGGGGATTATTACAATTCAGGGTGAAATTTGGCTGGAGACACAGTCAAGCCATATCAAGAAATATAAGCTAGTATTATTTACATACCACGCTATTTCATAGCTATGCATTTGCCTAACTGACTACCTTTCTAGCCTATGAGCTCCTTGGGAACATGTAGAGTAACCAGCTCATTTCAATTTCCCTAGGACTGTCCCAGTTTTAGCTCTGAAAGTACTGCATCCTGGAAACCCTCTCTCAGTCCTGAACAAACTAAAACAGTTGGTTACCCTATGTGGGATACTGTCTTACTTACTTTCAATCCCTTGGATCTATCACAGGATACAGGTTACAAAGTAGATCATCCATAAGTACTTGAACTATAGAATCAATACTAGTCATCTTTCTATCCTCTTCTTCATAAACAAATGCTTTCGTACATCAAAAATAGTGTTCCTCTTGCCATGGAGTGACAGCTGACTCTTCAAAACTTGTCACTTAATATATATACATTAAAGGGCACAGGAACTAGAAAGGTGGCTTCCATTCTGTGTCATCATTGTAATAGAATTGGCTGCCCTTTCACACTAAAAGACATGCCTGTTATGTTAACAGCAGGTGGGGAATGGAAAGAGTTTAACTTCCTTTACTGCCTAGTGACAGGCAGGTTGAAGCCTTAAGGTCCCCTAGTTCACATCACAGCTAGAAGAGCAATCTTTTCCCAGTCAGAAATGTCCCTCTCACTGACTATATCTGTCTACTCAGCTGTCAAACATGGTTAGAACTCCTATTTGAATATGCTGTGTCTTACGACTGCTTCTCATCCAGACTGGCTCAGATCTTTTGTCACAGTACAAATATGCTAAGAAAGTCCCACAACCAAGCTTCAGTGAAACATGTACTCTGGAGGTGTCAGGACGCACAACATGGC